AGGTGTGGGGGGAGCTGGGTGGGTGGGTCTGAAAACAGGAAGATTTCCTGTGATGTTGAATTGTTTGGCTGGTCACACTGATTCCAGATGGTGCTCCAGGCACTCAGCATCTCTGAAAATGGGCCAATTTTCATTCTCCCAGTTCTTACAGCAGTAAGAGAAAAACTGTTCTCTCGAGAAAAGAAAACAGGGAAAAACTAGTAATGATATTTCTGCTTCTCCTGTTGGCAAATTATAACCAAAATTAGCTAACATGCTACAACAATTCTGGTTTTCCTGTTGGAGAAGGTGAGGAGCAGTGAGCTTCTCTGGCTGTCTCACGTAGCACGAAGCACTGCTCTCTGTGAAAGATCACATTTCAGATCACCTGGGTGCTCTAACTTTTCATTTCAGATCTTCAATTATTTTTCTCTCCAGTTCCTCATACCAGTGAAGAGAGATAAATCTGTTTAAGTAGGGTTGTTTTTACCAATGTTTTCTAAGGGTTTTTCATCCTTACCCAATATTTTTGGGCTTTGGGGCTGTTGCTTCGGCAGGTCCATTTTTGCCCAGTGACCTGGCAGCAGATGCTGAACAGTATATAACATCGTGTCCTGCTTTGCAGTCAAATCCATATCCCTGCACAGGAACACCTCTACATCTCATCACTTATTCATTCAGTCTTTAAGACTCCTTTGCAAAATTTTTTCAGTTTAAGTTATGATGTAGTTCAGCTGGCATCACACCGCTGATTAGATCACCACAAAGAAACAGAGAAATTGCATGGTAAATTACATGCATGAGCACAAGCTACAAGCTTCCATCATTACTGTCCTCCGCCGACTAAACCAGTTCTGAAAAAGAACAGGCATGAGCAGTGTATTTGATGGGTAAAACTTGTATCATTTTGTTTTGAACTAAAACATACTCTGGACTTTGAACTTTGTATTTGCTTACGTTTATTTGCTCAAATCCCTCTCCCCACAAATATACTCTGAAGTATCTGTGAAAAGTCTGTATTAGACAAATCTTATGAATTAATTACCAGTATGGATTGACAAGTACTTGCATACACAAAATCTACATCTTTTACTATAGCAAAGCTACCTGTAACTGTTCTTTTGCTGTTTTGCTTCCGACTTATTGAATTAACACCTTGTTGACTAAGAGTTTCCTTCATTAGTGAGAATTTAACTTTTCAATAAGTGATTCAGAAATGAAGTAGGGCTACACGACTTCTTCATGACAATGTTTGTAGTAGTTCTACAGGTGTAACCCAGCTATTTTGGTAAACATTCATCCACAATACTGTTCCTCAAATGTCAAAACATTGACACAACCTCAATCTGATCCAGGCGTATATAGCTTTTCAAGATGAAAAGGCAAAAAATGTGTCTTTGAGAGGTATCCTGCAAGTTAGAGGATATTGGACATCACCACTACAAGGTAGGTATTCACATAAAAACAAGTTGCTGTTCTTCCTCAAAATGCACCTTTATTTTGTAAAAATAACTAACTAACTAACTAACTAAATAATTTTAAAATCTTCAGAGCAGGAGTGGAAAAAAAAATATGGTTTTCTTTCTTCCTCCCTGTCAGCTTTGCTGCAGTGAAAAATTTCCACATAGCTTTGCTTATAGTTCTCCTGGCTAACAGCCACAGTTTAATTTATAAAATAACTGACAGGACCAACAGGCATGTCTGTCTCCTTCCATAGAATTTAAAGAGTAGAGAGTTTAAACAGCAGATACTCCATTAAAATGAGTTTGTATCACACCTATTCAGACCTTACAAACCTTGTCTTAAAAGCCAAATCCATTTGTTTCTCTAAGACTCCTTTAAGTTTGTCACTCACAGTGAGGAAATGGGAAGCACACACTGCATCAGACCACCAAGTGATACGAAAAGCAGCTTCAGACCCTTCATCAAAATACATATTGAATAAAGGATGGTCCCACTGCAGACAGACATTCCTTTTCAAGCCCAACTAAACTTTGCATATCATTGGTATCGCTTTGCATTTTCCTGGCGTCATCTATTAAGGGATTTCAGTACCTGATGAATCAGTGCTCCCAACCACCCCTCGGGTGGCAGTGGGTACCTCATGGGGGTTGAACTGTCCTTTCTGTGCCACTGCAGCTCTCACACCCACAGCAGAGACACAAAGAGGGAGCCAAGGAAATGTCCCCACAGCATGCACAGGAGACATGGATCTCCTTTCCCCAGGGCTGTGCTGGGCTATCGGCTCACACGTTGCTCAGAGCCCGGCCACCTGAGGACACTACTAGGGAAATTTAGCAAAACCCCTGAACGGGGGCCTGAGGGAGCACTGCATGTCCTTTCTTCTGCTCCCCCATGGATGTTAAAGCAGCTGATACAAAGACAACATTACAGCCTCAGTCCTGGCTTACCTGCCTTTATTTAGCTAATATATGTTGCTTAAGTCCTAGCACTTCACACCGCTGTGCCCAGTAGCCAGCAATACATAAGGTCCATCACTGATACTACCCCACCCTGCTACCTCTGAACTACTGCTTCTAGTCTCTTTCTCTGAAAAAGTTTCCCAGAGGTTCTCAGGTTCTCACTTGAAACAAGTTTAATGAAAGAGTATCCACACAAGTTGAACCTGGGGAGAATGGAGGTGCTTTTCTCTCCAGAACCCAACTGTCCATCAGTTAGGTCAATAGCTCTAAACAGCAACTTGCTCCCAAGGTGGTTTTTTAATTTTTCTTTTGTTAACATGTAATACCACATGCTCCTCAAGTGAGTGAGAAATGATTATTTGATTTAGGACGTTCTCAAATTATAAGTAGCCCCCACGGTTATTTTAAGTGTATGTTGCATCTTTTTCTCAATGAAGATTAATGTTGTTCTTGCCACGGGGTTATGTAAGAAGGAAACATTTGTGCAACAGCAATTTTTAACACTTTCCCCAGACTGATTTATGTGTTTGTTTTCAACTTTCTGGGCACCCATAAATGATGTCTTTAGTCTTCAGGAGGAATATTGACATCCAGTAATTTATGACTGGCTAAAAGCAAGTGTGTTGAGGGAATATTATTTTTCTCTTGACCATAACTCAGTGGGCTAGATTGAATAAATGAGTCTGCATAAGCAAAGGCGAGCATAAAGATTTGAAGTCAATATGTAAAGCAAGGGGAAAAAAAAATAAAAACAAAACCAAACAAAAAAAAACAGAAAGCTAAACACTGGGATAAAACCAAAGATTAAACCTGCCTGTGTGCTACAGGTACATAGGAGAAATCATGCTCATAGGAAGTCAGAGTTACTGAAATAAAGTATTGATTTTCTGCTGAAAGAACTGTACGTATAACAGGACAATTAATTTTTAAATTAAGATAGCAGTCATATTATTGCTCTGTGGATCTAGAAAGCAGCTCATTTGTCTATATCTATCTACATCATTTGGCTGTGCTCAGAGGCAATGAGTTTTAATCGAAACTAGATTGTTAAGAATATTGGAGTATGATTAAGTGTCTGGACTCCTCTTTTATAGATTTGAACTCCAAATTGAAGGCAAGTTCATCTGACACACACACAAGATACATCCCTGAAGCAGCACTTCACCATCCTTCCCAGCTATTCCCCTCTACTCCCTCACCAGAGCGACACCCTGTCCTGCTGAGCCCCCTCACCCGGGATCTGGGATCATTTTTGGCTTGTTCCCCTCCCTAGCCTTCACATCCTATACCTTAAAACTCCTTCCTGTACCAACATCTCAGAGTAATCATCTCTGCAGGCACCCTGAAAACAACCAGGCAGGCTCTTGCCACCTCACAGCTTTAATTACCACAACCTTCTCTCCTCTGGCTTTGACAAATGTCTCACCCTACTACTGTTCCAAATAGTATTTCAGACATAAACTCCCGCTCCTTCCTTCAGAGCTTCCCCCAGACACCTGTGAGCCACCTCCTCTTCCAAGGGCCACAACAGCCTCTCCCCAGCTCTTCTCACCACTTATCTCCATTACCAAAATGCTGATCTGCACTTCCCTTTGGCCCTTGTGTCATCATCATCTGTCACTTACTGAGCACCCAAAACCCTCCCATGTGTCCCCACCAAAGGTGGGAGAAGAGCCCTGCAAGAAGCTCTCTGCAAAGTGACTGCACTGTCCTGCTGGTGCTAACGGCGCTGGGTCGCCAGCACTGGGTCCCCAGCCATCACCTGTCTCACCACGTGCTCCCCGAGCTAAATACTGTAATTTCTTTACATTTAGACTGTAATATCCTTAGAACAGTTGCTGTCATTTTGGCCTATGCTCACAGAGAGGTTTAGCATGGTAGATATGGTCCATGGCAAAGTCCTGACGCCCATATAGCAATCAGTAAAAGTAAGGTTTTGAGCAATCTTTGAGTTGATGAGTGGTGCTGTTGAACAGGAGTTCTGGGCTCTGGGCCATAAGAAATTTCAGAGAGGTAGCAAAATTGAGTGGGGAAATGAGTTTGTCATCCAGCAAGTTTCCAAGGGTTTGTCTTGTTGAAATTACTTTGTATGAGTGTAAAATGTATCATCAATCTAAATCAGACTGAAAAAAATTCATATACTTAATAGTTTTTAAGTCCTGGTATATCAGTTCAGATTTGTTTAAGCAACTGAAATGTTTCACTTAAATTCTGGCCATTTCTGTAAAAAACAAAACAAAACAAGAAAACAACCACCACCACCACCAAAAAACATTAAAAAATCCAAAAATTAATGAAAGATGCAGACTCCTGGGCAGTATCAATTCAGACCTGGCTGATCTTCCACTATGGATTAAAAATTGGTTTTTTGCTTGTTTAAGAAGAAATAAGGATATGATGATTTTGAGCTCAAATGTCGCTCTTTGTATCATAAATGTTCTTCTAGGGAATGTCTGACAAATAAATCCATCTTGCATATGACTGTATCCAATTGCCTCAGGCTGTCACTGGAGCAATTCCCAACTGCTTAACAAATCCGTAACGCCCACATCCCGCGTGATGAGCAATTGTGATTTTTTTTTTTTTTTTTTTTTCCAGAACACACCGGTGAGGAGAACTGCTTCCAGGTCTAGGTAGACATGAACCTGAGTGGAGCCTGAACGCCATTAAAGCCACACTGACCCACAAAACTTTTAAAATATGACTGCAGTCAGGATTTTAATTCCACAATGCTGTTATGCCGGGATGTGACAGGCTTCCTACCCAGGTCTGGAAGGTAGGGATCTGCTTGCATATATGAAATCGCATAGTTTCCCTTCCCTCCCCTCCCTGCACATATGTTGTTTTGGGAAAGGAGTACAGAAGAAAAAAAGAAAACGTTTTGAAATATATCCTATGGGTTGAGATGAGTGGAAACATGATTAACCAGCATAGGAACTGGTATGGTTTAGACCAGCTCTCTGCAATCTATGTGGTCTATTATTACCTTATATTTAAAGTGACAGTGCCAAGATTGTCAGGTCTGGAAAAAACCCATGTGTTTTAAAGTATCTTGCATAGGTAAGAAAGATTGCAAAATTCAGCCACACTGATGAGCACAAGCATTAGAGTCTGTAACAGAGCTGGTATACTAAATAGGATGCCAACATATATCTGTCTGCTTGTGTACATAACGTCATAAAAAATGAATATATCCTCTCTTCTGTGGCAATCCCTCATGAAAAGAGGGCTGGGAAAGACAAAACAAACAGCAGAGCAAAGACCAAATGCTCAGGATGGATTCTTCATTGAAGTACCAAAGCCCTTTATCCCCAGGCCACAGTCCTGGACCGTTCTTGCACGACTGCCAGGCTGCAGGGTCTCCTGACTGCAAGAATGGTCAGACAAGACCAAGATAGGGGGACCAGGGCATCAAAACTAGATGATGCCAACCCCTTTGAAGAGACAGAGCTGCTGCCTGGTCCTGGCCCTCTGAAATCCACAGAGAGCCAAGCACAGAGTCACTTCTGGCACTGAATTATGCTGCCCACCACAAGCCAGCCCGGCTCCATCCCTGGGATGGTGAGTCTGCCTGCAGCACTCATCTATTCACAGAGGAGTTGGAGGAGGAGAATCTGTAATGAAACACATGGGGATTCACAGAACAGCATATCCTCAGGACTGCTAAACTGCCTAATAGCTGGAACCAGCGATGGCCCTTCTTCATCTGTTGGCTTTGCTTAAACCAGATTATGTTTTCAACAAATCTGAAGAAATTAAAAAGATATAACTCTACAGCTTGGTGCTGACAAGCTGGAAAAGAAGTAATTTTCTACAATTCAGCTATTCAGAGATAACTTGATCATTCAAGTGTGAAAGTTTGTAATTGTTTCTGCTAATTTTTTCTCCCCCGCCCTCCTCCCCCAAACATATGCTGTCTACATCGGCTGTGCTGGTAAAGAAGAGCAAAGCATCCAGCCAACCAGACTGTAGCCGGAGCGAGAGTGTTTCAATAGCACTGATGTATTTCAAAAACCAGACTGGGATCTACAAAACCATTCTGCTAACATTCACAGCACCTCCCCGTGGGGCTGAGATAGATGGTAGGATATGCAGATAGAGCCTCCTCCATCACGGACCAACTCTTGTTCAACCTGTAAGACACTTCCACATGCCCTTCCAAGCCTGCTTGTACTGCTGGGCACCAAGGAGATGAAAGGTGAGGTTGAGGCACTGGCCAAGTAAGTGGAAAATAAATAGAACAAGTTGTTCAGTCATTACAGAGATGGAAGACCACATTTACCTGGCAGACAGAGAAGAGCAGCACGTGGCTGTTGTACCCTTCCTCCCTTGTGTATGTAAGCACATCATTGCCATGCAGCAGCCACAGCTGACTGCTGGGAGACACAAGACGTACTGGATATTCACATGGGAACAAGCTTGTTCCCTCCCTGTGCACTGGTGTATCCGCAGGCAGATCCCTACGTGCAGCGGTGCTAAAGGGTTTTTAGGAAATAATAGCCAAACATCATGCCCATGGTAAAATGAGGGAGCTAGACTTTCTCAAGAGGGACCAGTCCTGGTGAACACATGCAAATAACTCCTTTCACATTTGGGGACCATCTCTTGCTGGTCCTCAGATGCATGATCTAGGACAATGGTACATTCTAGGAATAAGAAATTAATCTGGAGGCAACTGCCTCAGACATAACCCTATTACAACACCTAGATCTGTTCAGTGCCCGTAACTGTCTCCACACTGCCCAGCCCACTGAAATGCAATTGCAATATCTAACAGCACAGAACACCACCAAACGCCTTCTAACACCTACTCCACTCCATGACTCTGATGAGCACGAACATTATGCTGGTGCAGCTCTGACAAGCTGGACCTGCAGAGGAGGTTTCCCTCTCTGGCAGTGCTGGTGCACAGACAGATTCAGGCGAGCAGTCAAGCTGCGAGCATCTTGGAAAGCCAGGCCCTTCTGGCCAGCCCCAAGAAATATATTCTCCATGAGCAGTGACTTAATGCAGGATAGCAGTCACAGCGTAGAAACGTTACCAAGTTTATGGGGAGAGCAGAAGGAGGGAAGGCATATGATTTATATAACCTTAAGAATATAGCATTTTGGAAAAAAAAAATATTTATATTCCTACTGAAAATGCTGACTTTTTGACAAAACAGATTAACCTAGACCTGAAACCATTAGATTCAAGCTGTCACTTGAATTTTCTGTGCAAGCTACTGCTCAGATGCCATATGCTTTCACTCTGCTCTCTGGGTAAAGCTTTCTGCCTGGCATATCCTTTCCATAACTTGCTTTTCCCTTCCAGTAGGAGAAGGGGCTGCATGATCACTCTGGTGTTTCATAGGAAACATCACCCAGCCTCAGTCCTGGGGGCAGAGGCAAGCAGAAGGATGCAACACTTGAACCACAGCTCCCATGAGATTGTGTGATGCTATTTTGAAGACAAAAATCTCCAAGAAATGGATCTCTACTTGAAATCTCAGATTATTTTAGAAGAAAGTACATTTGACTGAAAATGCAATTTTTCATCAAAGATCAGTACTGATGGAAATTACCAGGCAGTTCTGATATTCTGCAGGAGGTAACTTAGTGTGAAATAACACTATACAATACAATAGCCAGAATGTCGGGAGGAAAAAATCAAATCCATCCTTGTTGGACTTTCACAAGAGTACTTCAGGAAAGACTGGGCTATGTTAGTAGTTCCGATAACATTTTTTTTTTCTTTTTCTCCACAAAAAAAAAAAGTATCCATACTTAATCCTCAGCCTTCCTGACAGTCCTGACTCTTTTCCACCAAATGAAGTCAAACTGTAATGTAAGATCTCTTGGCTGGTGAATTAGAGTGGTAATAGAGTCTTTTAGGAGTAATAGACCTCTGATTAGGCCAGGTGAGCATTACAAGCCTGACCCCACACCTCAGTGATTTCTTCACGAGCCCAGACTCACTGGTCCATCCTAAGGATGTGACTGGTAAATACATGTGATGTTTGCTTGGTTTCATTCACTTTGTGTCATCAGCTTCTCTTCCATCTCCCTGCTGCAGGACTGGCTATTATAGTAATTTCTGTGCTTTCAGGAAATTTAAAAAAAATCTACTATGCTTGAGCTTAAAATAGACTAGAGGGCCTAGATGATTTATCCTGGTCTTGTAGGATCTAGGAGGTGGTGAGATTGGAAAACAACTTGAAAAGGAGTAAATTGAGACAGAGAAGGAACTGTGAACTTCAAAAATAAAAGGTCTTCAGTTCACCCCATGAAAAATTTGCAGGGCACAAGAGTTCAGGACTCTCTGGGACACCTACTCACAGCTGGCACAGCACAAGGCTGCAAGAACACGATGCTCCAGCCAGATGTGAACTGCCACTGAAATATCCCTGCCAGCAGCATCAGCTCACTGGAAATGAAACCAGGCAAACTTGGCTGTGTAGATAAAACCTGCAGTTGGTATTTCCTCACTGCATTAATGTACTTAGAGAGCAACCATTTGATACCTAAGTTTCACCCAGTTCTCCCTATGGTTCAATATCTTCTCTTTCCCATCTCTCTTTTCCAAATGCAGCAGGGATCAGTTCTCAGACTGATTATTTCATTTGATGTGAAATACACTTTTTTGTTGTTGTTTGTTTTAAAGAGACATTCCTGCTTTTTTACAGTAGTAACCCTCAGCACTTCTCACCTTGATCAAAGGTGGATGTCAGGAAAAGTTTTCCCCATCCCTGGGCAGTGACTCAATTTCACAAGTCAGGTCAGTTCCTCTCCTTCAGCATCACTATTCAGAAGCGAACTCGCAGAGGCAGAAGGAAGTCAATCTCTGCTGAAGCCCTTTTGGTTATGGATTCAGATGATAAGGACCTTCAGCTATGCAGACATCTGCATCAAATAAGATAATCCTTGTACTAATCACAATCACCTGTACCTCTCTGGGTTATAAAACATCCACATTAAAAATTATATTGCTCCTAAAAATATTATATTGCCTGAAGAACCTATAAGTACCAGAGATTAAATATTATGGAAAACAAGTACGCATAATTTTCACTTTGCTTTGTGCCAGTGAGAGATGGGGAATGTTTGGACAGAGAGGAGAATTGGGATAGAAACAGTCTGCTCTGCCATTTGTCTGCTCTTTCACACTAGCAGAGGAAGAGAAATATTTTTATGATTGGGAACTGCTGAGACAAGAACAGTGTCTGTACCTCTTAAGAAATTATATTTCACATGGATAGTGTTCATTCACCACCACTTCTCTTTGTTAACATCTCTTTTTATTGTCTAAAATTTAGAAAGAAGCATTCATGGGCTAGATTAAGGTAGAGAGAAGGTTTCTTCTGTTCACAGCTCTCAGTTACCTGAGCTATGACACTCCCAGCAGGTTTGTTTTCCCACAAGAATATAGTACAGAGATTTTCTGTTTCCAGTTCTACCCCTGAGTTTCCCTGTACTCAGGAGCAGCAACCACTTGTATCTGACACCATGTTTGTTTTGCAGGTGGTTGATGATGTTAGGAGTAAATATAAACCCAGATGAAGAGTGGCAGAAGCAATGGAGGGACCAACCCCAGAGCCTGTGTACGTTGATGTGGACAAGGGACTGACATTAGCATGTTTCGTCTTCCTCTGCCTCTTCTTGATTGTGATGATTATTCGCTGTGCAAAAGTCATCATGGACCCTTACAGTGCCATCCCTACGTCTACATGGGAGGAGCAGCATCTAGATGACTGAAAGGACTGCACTAGACAGAGCCATAAAATGCTGCAATCCAGGAGGCCTTTTCTCACCAGGAAGGCTAACACACAAACAGCGATTTTCAGATATGCAGGGCAACAGCAATATGTCTAAGAGTACATAACATAAATGATTCTTGCTCAACAGACAGAATATCATCAAGCCATTCTAGAAGCACAGTTTAATACTATGCAGCAACCCTTAATTTACTGAAAACAGTTATCATTGCAACTGAAGTAGCACAAGACTCTCCAAACTTTTCCTAATATAACCCTTGGTCTAGCACAGTTTGTCCTCCCCTCAATATCCCCCACAAATCCAAGGTAACCATCAGAATTTGGAAAAGCAACAAGAACATTTTGTCTTTCCTGGAAATAGATTGCTTCAAATATGTTCTTCAGTGATTATATTTGCATTTCAAAAAAAGGCCCAGACTTTATAATTTTTGTATCCCAGAGCATCACCAAGTAGAAGTGTTAAAGCACCCCTGGTTAAGTATGGTTATACAAGCAGATTTATTCTTGACTCCCCTGGTTCTGCACATATACTCTCTACCCCACTGCAGCATATTTCCAGTGATCAGGATGCAGAAGCACTCAGACTACAGTTCTCAAGGGGGTCATAGACTACTGTTGACCCTGTAGCACCATCTCTCACGGAAATTTATTATTTACCTTTTGAAGAGTAGGGATTGAGGGATTCCCATGTCCTCTGTTCCCCAGATTCTAAGGTTTCCCCACAGCTGCCTTTTTTAGTGACTATATGTTTGGTTTATGGGATTGTAAGGAATTGCTGAAGCAATACAGAGTAGGTACTACAACCACAACAAGCATCATGAGCAGACAAGACTTAAAAGCACAAATCTGCAAGAAAGGCATTTCACTGTTTCTCCTTTTCCTTACCATCCTACCTGACCTTTGGGTTCTTGCTGTAAGGCGATGCACAGTGGGTGAGAAAGGTTGAACCAAAGGTTGTAGACTTTGTAGGCTAGTCTTCTCAGTTCTGGTAGATTTGTTTGAAGATCATACAAGTCACTTCTTTATGTGCCTAAGTCTACTCATTGGTGAAATGGGTACAACAATATTAACTCATGTAACATTATTTTGTATGTCTCATAATACCAGAAAGCACTTGGAGACCCTTAGAGAGGGACACAGAAATAAGGTAGTAATTTACCACTCTTCCTTGTGAAACTAATGGGGAAGGTCTGAATCTTAGTAGACAGAAAGGGAAGTTCTCCCCAGGCAGGGAACTTGTCCAGACCACCATTTACTCTCTCATTAATATTGCAGTACTTTGATTTATGCCAATGTCATCTGGCTTTGTTACACATTCCACTGATTTCTGAGAACCATCTGGATGTAAGGTGCCCAGCACTGTGAGTACAGAGATCCCAAAATAGCAGGTTATGAGGCAGGTGGGGATTTTTGCTAATCTCTGTGGTAGGAGATCCCATTCAGGAGGCAGGAGTTTCGAGGACTGGCTTTAATCCTGCTATTCCCTAGCAAGAGGCCTCCACTGCTTCAATTACCCACTGGAGATTGCTCATCAGGCTGTTAATTAGCTTCAGTTTCTGCTAGTCTGTTAATCACCAGTAACTGAGGACTTTTTCAGATGTGAACATTAATGTTCACCATACTTTGAGCAAACACATTGGTCTCTTATTCATGAGTGTGTGTATCCGTACCAAGCTTCTAACTCAAAGAATCTCTAGCTCAAAGATTGCTTCTGTTCCCTGAGCTGAAGTTTAAAACCCATTTTTTGTCATTAAGTCTTGTACCCTGCCTTGATACTAGTGAGGCTAGTTACAGAATAAACAAAATAAGAAAATAAATCTATTTCCAGGCTAGAGACACTTTTAGTTTGCAGGTCACCTGGCTGTGTTCACAGCTGATGCAGGGCAATAATGGAGCTTGTCATGACACCTCCCGATGCCAATACTCCACTCAGTGTTCATCTGCATGCAGAAAACTCTGGCTTTGTCATGCATCACTGATAAGCCCCTGCTCAGCTAAGGACTTACACATGCGCTTAAGTTTAAGCCTCTGAGCAGACTGCCTGACTACACAGGGACCAGGCCGGTCATGTGCTGTGTCCTTGGCAGGGCAGGGAGGGCAACACGCAGTCCTCACAGGAGCAAAGCCTATGCAAGAACAAAAGGTTACAAATGCTGAGTAAGCAAATTAACAGGTTTGCTTTGCAAGAATGTTTGCCACGGTTTTTCCCCCCCCTTCCTCTGTTTGTCCATCTGCAAAAACCATTTTATGGATTTTCATGAAAATTCTAATGCAAAGACTCCTATGGATAGAACTATTTTCTAATAAGAAGGCACTTGACTTCCTGGCATAGCCTGTCAAGTCCATCCTTCTGTTGACAGAAAAGGTCTCCATAAACATCTCCATATTCATGTCCAATCTTTTCACATGGCTGTGTAAAGTCAATAAGAATGTTTTTATACAGATAATGTAAATGCATTCTCACTTCTGCCTTCCCCCACTGGTTACAAGCACACAACCTCACCACTCTAATCAAAAGCAATACTAACCAACATGCTGAAAGCAGAAATTTTGTCCTACTCGCATTCAGTTGCCGGGATTTGCCCACCCGAGGTGCATCATTGCAGCTCCTGCCTGATGCCGAGCCCGCCAGCCCTCTCAGCAAAGCTGCGCTCACAGCCAGGGGAAGGGCTGTTTTACCAGGGGCTGCACCGCTGGGCTTGGTAGTGATTTCAGCTGCATGCAACAAGTGCCTCTGCTAGTTTTTGTTCTTTTTTAATCATTATGCCATACTACCAGCAATTGCACTCAGAGGAAATAATTCAAACTTGTTGCAAGTGTATTTATCTAACAGAATAAACAGCTTCAACATGGAAAACCTTCTTGTTGTCTCTGTTGTGGTTTGCTTATAGTTGCCAGGACCTCTTAGAAAACACCCACAACACGATTTTCAATATATATATATATTCCTGACAGCTCTCCTTTGAAAGTGAGAGGAGAGAACTGCTCCTCGTGTAGCAACACCACTGCAGACTCCCAGGAGTTCAGGACAGAGCTGATGGAGCTCCAGGTATTCCTGGGGCTCTGCTGGAAGGTCAGCCCCCTCAGAGTGGCTATTTCTGGTTACTGCCTTAGTCAGGAAGAGCACTGAGCTGAGCTTCAGTTCAGCAGGAGACTGCAGCATGCTGTATTTCAGCAATTCATTATCAGTAACAAATTGCATACCAAAAGAAATAGGACCACTGAGACTGGAATCCCCTCCTGCTAGCAACTGAAAATGAAGAGTGTGGAGCATCTGTGGGGTCTCTTTGAAGAAGCCACAGAGTATGGGATATGCCGAATAAAAAGTGCCCAGGGAACTCCTCTGATGAAGAGACAAATTGCTAACACTTTCATCTTGCAAAAGGACTCTGTTGCCTGAAAGCTGGGTGCTTTATTTATCTGCTTGTCCCTGCAGCGAGTCTTCTGGCAGAAGGACCTTTATGCCCAAAACCCCGCTGATAAATCATTAACTCTCTCCTAGTCAGAAGCAGAGGCTGGAGTCTTTATTCTGTTTTCAGAGCAACTGCTATGACTACTATCTAAGAGTAGATCTGAAGAGAAGCCAACAGTAGCTGAATTTGGGCAGAAGCCCTGGAGAACTGTGACACAGGGACTGATGCTATCTGGGGAACCGCACAAGCAATGCTGCTGTAGCCTCTGCCATCCAAATGTGTCCCCAGCTTGCTGGGTCATTACAGGTCTCGGCAGGTAACTTCAATCCACCTTACTAGAGTGCAGAAGTCAACACAGGACTTCGATGGGGAAAATGCTGTGCTCAGACTCCAGAAATCTCCATGGCACACATAGGGAGGGTGGCGAGGGCAGCAGACCTCAGGTATTTAGCTGATTCACTTTAGAAGCCGGTGCTCTAGGAAACAGAGTGTGTATGAGAGATGAAGGCAATGAGTTTTCAAGACAGCCCCAGATTAAGCTTCCATGGAGCAAGACTGATGCTGGTCCCCTGTGCTATCTGCAGCTTGCATGCAGTCCCCCACTAACGTGCAGTGATAAATGAGCCTACAAAGCCTTGAGTTTCTCCACTCAGAGCCCCAAGGGCAGCAGTGACACCATGACCTGCATGTGGACTGGGCAAGGAGTCACCCCAAAGGAGCAGCCAGCCCTGCAGTTTTGCACCTTTGAGGCCAGCTGGGCAGCACATGGAGTGCCAGCCATGCACAGCTCCCCTGCTCCGCACCCAGCTCAGCCCTGGGCCGTGGTGGTGCTGGATTTGCACCAGACCTCAGCACAGCAGCACCGTTGCAATGGCTTCAGCTGAGCTGCTCACGGTGTGGAGATCCTGCTAACTGCAGGCTAGAAAATTTAAATTCATCTTCTCTCCTTCCTTACCCCCTCTGACCTTGTCAAGCCAGGCTTCAAACCACTTGTATTAGCTGTCCTGTGGTTTTGCATCTCAGGTGATTTGATTTAAATAAAGGACATTAAATAACCAAATTTTAGCCACATCTTAATGCTGCAATGGGAATTCTTGTTTTCAGTCAACATTCTTTTTCATTTGCACTTCTTTAATTTTTTAAAAACTGTTTGCGTTAAAAATGGTTGATACCCTTTGACCACTACTGCTTCTTACTAACCAGGAGGATAACACTGTTCACACATACATTTTTAAAGCAATACATGGTTTAAGATTCCTGGTTTCATTTATTCTCAGAGTTCAATTAAATCCTCAATGGCATTAGGAAATATTGAATGATGCACTTCTCAGTTACAAAGCTCCATGTTTTGTGCTGGGACTTGGCCAGGCAGCTCCCAGAGGGAAATTGGAAATCAGAAATCAATCAAAAACGTATTAAAATTGCATTAAGTATGCTGAAGCCGAAAGGAAAGCCAAGTTTTTTGAAACATATTTTATATTTAAGACTAATTGGATCCCTCGAGCAGCAGCCGTGCTGCGTGTGCAGAGCAAAGTGCCTGGTAGGGGCAAGCGGGCAGCAGAGCTGGGCACCCCACGAGCCCCCGGGGTGAACCCCAGAGCCACCCCTGCAGCAGGGTCCTGGGACGCGGCAGCTCCAGGGCATCTGTTGCTCTGCGGGGCCACAGAGCTGCCGGTCCTGAGCCCTGAAGCACATCTGCCCTGGATCCAGCACACTGCAAGGAGGGGGACAAGAAACCTTCCCTGCACTGGCAGCTCCCAACCAGTCCCTTAATATTCACTGGCAAAGATGTCGATCTTACAAGCTGACCCAATGGGTGCTCAGCTGCCACCAGAGACTTCTGCTCCTGCAATGTTTCCCTTATAAATTACCTTTGTCTACTCCAGCTCTATAACAGCTACCCGTTAGGTAACACGAAGCAGAATAAAAATTAGAAGGCACAGGTCTATAATTAAAACTTCATGGAAAATCAAAGACATTTATAACAGAGAAAGTGTTGAAGTGAAGATGTTCTTGGGAACGGGGGGATGTGAAAAAGAGGAATAGCTCACAGCAGATTTGTATGGGGCAGCATGGTGCCAGTACTTCAGCATGTCCCTCACGTACTTCAAAAACCTTCAATCAGTTTTAAAATTCCAGAAGTGATCCATTTCTTTCTCTCCAAGCAGCAACTGTGTGGGCATCCTGAACAGAAGCAGCAATCAAGCCTGAGAAACGGCCTCCTACCTTACCACTTAAACCCCAAACCAGTGTGAATATCACCTACCAGCTCTGTCCCTCAAAGTCACTACCTTCACCCTAAGTAACTACTGAAAGAGCATTTTACTTTGAATTATTACTGCCTGGTTAATGAAGGAATAACGAATATTGCTGACGCAAACGTTTCCATCAAAACTGGTTGTTGGTTTGTTTTTTTTTTTTTTTTCCATGATATCGCATCCATCTCTAATTAGAATCTCTACAGAAAACTATTTTTGGTGAAGAATGCCAGCATTTCACACAGAAAACCCATTGTTTCCTTTAAATTTTGAAATGTGCTTTAGGGTTTTATTTTGTGCTTTTCTTTTGACACTTAATTATACCAACAGTGCTATTATAAATTATACCCAACTTTTTCATTACACACCAACCACACGATGCTTTGATCTACAAGCAAATGCATCTCAAACAGTATCAAACAAAGGCTGCCCTTAGTTTTATTACCACCAAAACAACAAAATTGGATGAAATATTACCAGGCAGTACAATTCCTTGCATTTACGACCACCCCATGATAAGGCAGTACAACACAAAAGCACCTCCTGCATCCCTCCACCACCATTCATGCAACATCCCAGCATTACTCACACTCAGGATCGCTGTGCTCCAGCACCGGTCACGGCTGGGAACTGCTGACCTCGCTTGAGTGTGAAACACCCGGCCAGCCAGAAGGATGCTCCAGGCAAGCCTAAGAGCTGTGGTTTCCATTTGGATTTACATTTCTGTTTCCTCTGCTCAGGAAAGTAGAGCCTCTCTTCCCACATGACACTGTGTGACTCTGAACGAGGCCTCCCAAGTGGCTGACACAGCAAAAAGGTTTTATTTTTCCCCCAGGCTTCTGAAGATCCAAAGAGGAATTTCTCCCCCTACACCCAGGTCACAAACCTGGTGCTATGACAGGGCAGAATAAAAGGAGATCTGGGTTCACTTTTTTATTTTTAACTTTTGCTGGAAGCCAGGTTATAAGCAAACTAAGGAACAAACGGATTTAAATCAAATTAAAATAAGTAACCTCTAGAAGCAGAGCACCATGCTCAAACCTGATTGCAGCAAAAGCTTCCAGAACTGGAGGGGAAGTTCTCTGCAGAGAGGGTCAAGCCCACTGAAACAGCACTTCAAAATTAAACTTTTAAGCACCAGATCTGCATGTTGAACTGAGAACACCCAAGCCGAAGCACCGTCCTGCTCTAAGAGCCACCTCCTCTTTTCACCCCGTTCAGCTTCATCCCTACCCTGTAGACACCTCCCCCCAAAACCAAAAAGGAGTCCCATGACCTTCAGTTTAAAGGCCAAGGGTGCAAAGTGGCCACAGCTGCCCCAGTGGAAGTGGAGCAAGTGGGAGGTGCCCAGAACACCCGGGTGTTTCCCAAACCTTGTGTTGGAGGCTGCTGTGGCTGTGGTGCAGCCAGTCCTAGGCAGCAGCAGTGCTGTTTTAAGGACAGCACATTGCAGTACCAAGATACCCTTCACTTGCTCCTCGACACGGGGTACCCTGGCAGGGGTGAGAATCAGCAGTGCTGGTGGCTCTGGGATCACTGAGTTGGGCGAAGGCAGCCCAGCTATGGGCCCCACTTCTCCCCAGTGCCTACCCGAATGAAGCCCACTGCCTTCTCCTGGGGGTGAAAAGAAAGTGGCCTTGGGCATAAAAATAGTTTATCTCCATTTTTAGCACCTCCTGGCATTTTGGCCCCCATCCATGCAGCAGGCGGCAGATATCTCTGAGCTCAGTCCTGAGCGAGGTTTTGGACTTTCTCCAGCTCACCTCTGAAACCTGCTCTCAGAAATGTATCTGAGCTCCTTTCCAGAAATTCTCCACCTTCTGGGAACCTGGGACTTCTCCAGATGTCCCCAGACTAGAGAAGCTCAGCTCTGCCACCCTGGGATCACCGAGGGGACCTTGTGGCCCCGGGATGGAAAGCCACCCTGTTCCCTCAGGGCTGGGGCTGTGGGTGGCAGCCTGGCTCTGGATCAGGACCCAGCTTTGGTGGGGGTCTGTAGCTGGGTGCCTCCATCCTGCCAGGGTTTGGTTTGCAGCAGGGCTCTCAGCACCACTGGCCTTCCTGCCTGTCCAAGAAAGGAGCCCAATTTCTACCTGCAGCATCATGTTGTCTCTTTGGGAGAAGAACTCGTTGCCCATGTACAGGACTCACCTTTACCTTGCA